TCTGTCAACTCACAAATCGGTTTATCCTTAATACACAATAGCACTGGAACGAGATCCTCGAATAATAATGCACATATTCAGCGATACAACCAATACACAGTAATGAATAGGGGAAACATCCCAGATCAGCAGCGGGGATTGGATCGACTAATCGACGAGGGTCGACGGGGCATGGCGCACCCCTGATCGACCGGTAGATGGAGTAGGAAGTCGGAGTCGTTGATCAGGCGAATCCTCTCGTCCTCAGTCGTCGTGGTCGAGCCAAGAGCCTTGAATCGTCCCGTCCACGGCTTTTATTCGGGTCCCATCGCTATCTCCTTTCATCGGCTGAGAAAAGAGAAACCGAGGAAAGAGGCCCGAACAAAAACAATCTTGAGAGTTCACAAAGTATACTGATTCCATGAGTCAGGGCTTGGCACGCTCCATCGCTCCCTGCTGACCTAAAACATTTGAAATCAAATGGTTGAATGAACAGATCAATGATTTTACCTTCCCATCCTTTACAGTATTCTTCTGGCTGTTGATCCACCCAGCAACGATAGTAGCGCTTATTCGGTGTATGGCAACTCTACTCGAATTACGGTTTGAGTTGCTCTTCTCTTCTCCGCGTGTGAAAGCAGATGTTGTTTTTATACGCGCCTGATGGCGCGAGCTTGGTACTCTAAACTCTTACTACGAATAGAAATAAGAGAGCACCAGGATAAACAGCAGAAGCTCCCCAAAAGGATTAGCGTATAACCTCGAAGACTACATCAAACAAAATCACCATGCACGCTCAACCTGTGTCAGCTCTACGGCAGAAGGCGGATAAAGCGAAAGCGGCAAAATCACTGATATGGACAACTAGCGTAGGGTCCTGCGAAGCGTGCTGCCATGCTCGTTAGGCGTTCTGACTGAAATCAGAGAAGAGAATTTAACGAAAGTCTGGGTCAAGGCTGGGCTTCGTACAGGTCAGGATTCGACGAAATCCTTTCAACGAAATGTTTGTGGTGGTTTCCTAAAGATGTGAAGGGGTAACCTCAGCCTGAGTCCCAAACCTGAAGTTTTTCGACACTGGAATGAGGTTACTAGAGAGCAGGAATGGCACAGAAAACCAACTGTGGAACACTAAATCAATACAAACTGGCGAATTTAACCCATTCGTGACAATGTCAGCCACCGGTGGCTGACAAAGCTCTCACTCGGGACAATGGTATTACTGTGGCTGCAGGGCTTCAAATGGAATTTGGAAAGTTTTCTTCCATGAAAAGAATCTTCATACCCTCGCTCATCTACGCCAGCCCTGGGCAGAGGAAATCTCCCTCCACTCAAATTTTATTGAAGAAAAATCTCCTGACGCTGCTGCTATTGCGCAATCCTGCGCGGTCGCGAATGGGTTAAGTATGTCTAAGGATTCGAAAGAGCGGTGTCCAGTGATTTTGCACCGGCTCTAAAAATAAAAAATTTGTCGAAAAAATGTGAAAAAAAAGGATAATCTGTGATTTGAGAGAGTAGTTTCTTTATAAAGACGGTTCTGATTCTACGGGTTGCAATGGACGGCGCTCTCTAGAAGTGTAGATATTTTTTTTGGGGAAGGGGGGGGCGAGGGGGTGTCCTAATTTTCCGCACTGTATGAGTTGAAGCCGTAACGAAGGATCTTTTGCGAAAGGCAGTGGTTTTCACCACGTTTCCTATCTCTGTTTACCTATCAAACACTCCTGTTAGTTGCGCCTTACAGTTGCTTTTGTTGCTAGTTTGGACGCAAAAAAGCTCTTTGCGTGATCTCTACTACACATTCGAATAGATGTGCATTGAAGGCATTGAAACGTCTCGGTTATTCATATGGTCTGGAACACAATGCCTTGAATCCTGAAATGATGGAACATATTGATGAATTCATTCCTCCAGCCCTTCGAGGATACATACCTAGAATACTGGGAGGTCAGTTGCACAGACTATAGAACAAAGGATTTTGGAAATTTGCTTCTGAGTTTTTCAAATGACCAGACTTTCAGGTGAGATGTCGGATTGGGAGTCTCGGGTGCGGCCAAGTGCGCCGGTGCAGTATATCATTCGTGATGGGCCCGCTGGAGACAAATCGTGAGACATTTATTTTCTTATGATTTCCTTGTACAAATTTCTGCGATATTAGTTACAGACAATCTTCTTCCGTTGACCAATCTGACCACTCAAGTGAAGGTTCGTATACCGACATGCCTCAGCAAACTGTTTACACTATGGCAGATAACATGTCATACAGTGTACCTGCTTATGAGTCGGAAATGGGAGATGATGTGGACATCATAGAAACCTCAGATGATTATGCAGCATACTCCTTACCTGGACCAAGCACTAGTTATGCGGCTGTAGATCAGGGTCCTCGAACGGTTGCAGTGCGACACATCAACCCGATACCACGAACGACTGTTGCGAATATGCTCGAATATTCTGAAGCAGGCCCCTCGACCTCCAGGGTTTGTGGATTTGAGTTGTTTCATGAGTGACAGCAGTTCTTCATAGCTACCTCTTTCAGACACAGCAAATACTACCCCGGCAGGTTAATACCAAACGGCCTGTGTATGCAATACCGACCAATCAAATTTTTCGAAAAGCGCAGGTGGATGCCGATGGCAACATTGTATACACACATGTAAGATATTGCTATGTTTGTTACTTAGATTTCAATTCTAACTCGTATGCCGGTCGCATTACATACAAATTTCAGAATATTCAGCCGAAACGAACCAAGACAGACAACTACAACGTATAGTCAGTACGTTGTCAAATTTTCCGTAAGTAGCCTCGCATAGAATTCTCCTTCTTCTGGTCGTGTACGTTCCCGATTCCTTGTTTAATCTTGATATTGATAACTGATTTGACTTTGACTTGATTTGTTCCAAAGTTAGTATTATTAATGTTTCTTTTTCCGTCAATGTGTAACTGTCCTACTCTGAATCCTTCATCGGCTCCCTCACTTGCTAGCTCATTATTCTCTGAAGTAATTTAGTTGACTGAAGCGCTGTCGACGACTTTTTTCTATAGAAAGGCGCGTTCCAAGCGTAGTTATCATGTTTGCATTGGTACAGCTATTTTTGCTACTTCTCATTGTTTTAGTTGTTTTGTTTTGAAGTTTGACAGTGTTATGGTCATAGACTTATGTGTTCTTGAAATATGAAGGTTCTAAAATATAAAGTGGTTCTCGTTTGTGAAAGTTGCCTTTTGTGGTACTTAGAATATATTCAAGATATTGTGTATGAATTACAATAAGCGTTTTCCTTCAATTTATAAAGCTTCTTTTTTAAATATTTCCTCTCAAATTATCGATGCAGAACCATCAGTGGCCTCATGCTATTCTTTTTTAACCCGCTTTTATGTTTGTTTAGGAAAACCAAGGCAAACTATTCCTTCCTTCCTTCTTTGCAGACATTTGTGGCAGTCTTTGTAATAATCAACGAGGGGAAGAGCCATACGAGGGACTGAATTTGGAAGGGCGTTCATGCGGTAAGGGGGGGGGGCATTGTGATGCAACGTCAAGTGGCTGCCCTCACCCCCACCCCCTAGACTGCCTTCACTCCCCCTGGCTCACGGGGTCCCGTACTTCGAGAAACCTGTGCGCCAGGGGGAGTGTAGGCAGTCTAGGGGGGTGGGGGTGAGGGCAGCCACTTGATGCCCCCCTTACTGGATGAGCGCGTTGGGAAGTGTATGTATATGGCAATATCTTTGGTGTGTTTTGACACTAGTTGTAAATCTGCATTCCAAATCTGTAGAGAAACTTGTGCATGGACGCGAAGCGCAGTGTAGTATTCTTTGCTCACAGACGAGAGATCGTGGGATCGATTAGACGAAGTTTGCTGCTCTAAGAACCCTTGATCAGTTTGTGTAATTGAGCAAAAATTATGTGCTCGTTTGTCGTGAACGTGCTAGGCGCGTTTGCTACTGAAATCGCAGGTACTCATGGACAAGCAGTGTATAGATCTGTTAGGGGATGCTATCAAGCTCCTTGTACAGGCAATCATAGGCGAGGGTACATGATTGATTGTAGGTAAGTTCCCAGCCAAACTACTCAAAACATAACAACAAACTTGTCAACAAATCGATTTCACGAACTCTCGCGTGTGAGCAAAGACCACAACAACTGCCCTGTTGGGCCTTCATAAGTGCGTTCAAGTCACTCTAAAGTTTTGGCCTGCATCAGCGTTCATAAGCGCGTTTGTGTGTGTACGTGTGTGTATCATTACACATGTCCACTTGGACTTGGGGTCATTTCGGGGGGGGGGGTGGTTGTGTTGAAGATGCTCCGTGCATCCGATCCACAATGTTTTTTATATGGCTTGATATAAGTCAGTCAGTAGTTATTAGGCCGCTGATCTTTGAGTTTAGGCTTACGTTTGGGTACAGTAGATCAGATTATGCGATTTTATTGCTGTTTTAACAAGTAATGGCTTTGTTTATTTTAGATGAACAACGTGGAGGCTGCAGGGAACACCTTTCAATATGCCGAACTTAACATTCGCCACACTGGAAATGCTGAGAAAACGCTGTCAATGGTAAAACGTGCAGTGAGAATGGGTTATGACGCGGTGGCCATTAATATCGATATAGGCGATATTGCCCCGGGTGAACTAGCCGTGGGTGATTTTATTTCTTTTTAGATTTTAAACCTTTCCTTTGAACCTGTACCCTAGTTCTCATGATTATTTTCGATTAGGAAGAGCACATGATTCCACAGTCAAACACCAGAGAACAATGGCAAGCCACCCCCTAAGAAGAAACGAAAGGGTGAGGATCGGAAGGTGCGCGTTGGTGTACGTTACCGCTATTTCGTTGTGCTTATGGAATTTGTTAAGCCTCGAGAGCAACAACTGCCTGATCCGTATCTGGTCGATGAGTCTTCACTGGATCTTTCAGATTTGGAAAAACAAGGAAAAAGGTTCCGGCAATTCAGGTGAGGAACTGTAATGTGGTAGGATGTGCTTATGGGACGCCAGGTGCCCTGTTTTGAAGGGTTGAAGTAGGGAAAATCTCCGCTGAGAGAACGCAGTGTCTCACTGGTAGTACAGTTGTTTCCTGATAAGGCTGGATGTCAGAGTCCGCGATCCGTCGCAGGTTTCGCTGATTTTCGCGATTTGCGCGATTCACGCGACGGGTCACGGAAATCACAAGTGCCCGATCAATACTGCAAGGTGTTCTCCAATCCTGCCGCCACTTCTGCTTGATAGTGATGGCTGAATGACGACTGCTCATGATTCCACTTGTTTCATATTCAGTGTTTCAAATGTTCACACACTTGCAATTTTTGCGATCCGTCGCGTGAATCGCGTGAATCGCGCAAATCGCGAAAATCAGCGAAACCTGCGACGGATCGCGGACTCTGACATGAGCCTAAGCGGTCTCAACTCTATCGGTCGATGTTAGGTCTCAGGGGGAGGCTATCGGTCGATATCAGGTTTTAACTTAAAGTCGACAACACTAAGCCTCTTGCAAAACCCAGCCCTCTGATTTCCAACTAATTGGGGGTAAACGACGTCCAAAGAACAAGCATCTTATTTTAAGGTCATTTTGTGGAAACTGTAGTGTTTTATAGGCTATCTTTCCTATGTCCCATTAGTTCGATACTGGAGTAGAATGTATGACAGGTCCTACTGAGGTCTGGGAACACCAGCATTTTTATGACACTTATTCAGCAAAATCGTCTAATTACTCATGTTTCAGCCGCATTACCTTCACTCTCAATGATGCGTCGGTAATTCATAACGTGTTCAATAATCCTCGCCTACGAAAATTCGACATCGTGGCAGTACGGCCGTTAGATGTGAACATTCTCAATACGCTTACTCGCAAGACTGACGCCATCGATATTATTACGATGAATCCCGAAACTCATGTAGGTAGATGTCACACATTTCCTGCAGAATTCCCCTAATTAAGAGCTTTTGGGATTAAATTTGGTTAAGGTGAGCTGGCTGCATAAAGCCAAATTTCTAGAGAAAATCCGCATTGAAGGAGTTGGCTTTGAGATCACTTATGCTCCAGCGTTGTTTCCTGCAAATCGTAGATCAGTAAGTTTGTATTTCTCTCAAATTTTCTCGTTTTTCAGTGTTAGAGGCCGCTATGTCCAGATCAGGCATTTTCAGTGTCTTCACAGTGGACGATTCCTCTTCAGAGGCCTTCGAGGGCGTGGTGTTATTATGTCCAGTGGTGCATCGTCCATGTGCGAACTTCGAGCACCTGTTGATGTGATGAATATGGCTGTTTTGTGGGGCGTAACCGGTGCTGATGCCAGGTTATTGATAAGTGGTGAGGAACATTTTGAAGGCATTCTCTTGGAAATGATGGCTTCACATGGGCCATTTGTTTTCTGAATTTCCTCCGGCTTATGGCCTTTGATGTCGACTTTAGGCAATGCTAAACAAGTGCTGTTGCGAGCGGAGGCTAGGCGGACAGTTGGTGGTGCTTTGCATGTCGCACCAGTACAAACGAGTGTAGACGAAGACGACCAGAAAATCGTAGATGTCTCGATACCAGCATGTCGTGCCACTCACGATGATGCTTTGCAACGACTACTCAAAGTAAAAGAGTTCCGAGCACAGGTGCGTCAGATCAGTTTGTCATAATATCAGATCTAACATAGGTTCAATAAGCGTGGGAGGATTCTTTTCTGTGGTTTTAAGCTTTTCTCTCCGTTTAGGTTGAAGTCGTAGCAGCTGAGTCTAGTTCCACAAACAGTACTAAAGAAGTACCTTCATAGTATCAGTGATCTTGCTAGGATTTGATAACTTATGCAACTAAAACTGTTGTGAGAACGTCTTAACCAACATGACTTAATAAGACCTAATGACTTAATAAGCATGTAAGTAGTTTGACTTTGTGAGGAAAGTGACACTCGAAATGTTTACACCTAGCTAATTTTTCTTTCAATCTTTTAACTATGCTTTGATAACGTTGTTAACAGTTTGTTGATTTGAAATTTGTTGTTATGTTTGTTGTTGATTAATAAAGCTAAGGTTTCCGGTAGTTTCTTGTCTATGGTTCAATACAGTCAGAATTCATTTTCTTGAATACATTTCCAGTTAATTTCCTATGTCATACAGCATCGATACCGAAACTGTGTTCGATGTGTCAGATTGAGTGCGGAAATAAATGGGGTGAATGGAGGAAAGCGGTATTCAAATGCCTTCGACCCAGGAAGCGTTCAGGTGTATGACGTTTTAGTGGGTAGTTTAGAGGTGCACACGAAGGCTGCGATGTTCCGTTCTCTATTCTTTAAAAAGAGCAACAAGAACGTTTTGAGCATGTCAAAACCACTTTAAAGCGAGAAATTACGATAAAATTTCTGTGCAGCATGGAAGAACGAGCAGCACTTCAAGCAGTAGCTAGAGCCCAAAGGAATCGAGATGTGGCCTTTTTGTGACTAAAGGTGCGCTCGTTGCAGCGCCCTGGGGCTGCCAATCCTTTCTGAGCTCCGCCTCCGCCTGTGCTCCGCCCCTCAGCAGATCGCTGTTCGATTATCATTCTGATAAGGTATGCCACTTCGAGCGCGTATCCAATTTTTTTCTCATGGAATGCTATATCAATCAAGGTATGATCTCTGGTGGTATGATGGCAGCTATGGTTTAACGAGTGCCGACGACCTCTTAGTTGGTTGCCAACTCGTCCATTATCGGAGGTCAACGGGCAGAGGAAGTGGTCCCATTTTGCGCGTTTTTGACGGATTTCTTTGCTTTTTTCGCTACTAGGGCATTATTCAGCATCTTCACTTCCACTATGAGCACAACAGAATCCTATCGCAATCTCTCGCTTTAATCGCTTATTTCTTCTCTCCGCAGCGTGCTGGTCTCTAGCGCTTTTCGTATGCGAAAACCAAACCAGTTTGGTTCTGAAACGTGCCTTCAATCACCAAGGTTTGTAGGTGTATCTTTGGCTGGCAGACTTACTTTTTATAGTATAATTGGGTGAAGGAATAAGCGATAGTGGTGGCCTTGTTTAGAAAGCCCGGTCAAAGTAGTTCAATGCTCATAATTTTGTTCTTTTGCGAGGCGTATTGTCGTAGCGAGTGGCGTCGCTTATCATGCACACGGATCGGAGATCAAGACCTGAATCGTATGCTGTCGAGTCCAAGTCTTGCATCTCTCAATGGTCTCTAAGTATCAGCTTTGTCTTGGAAGACATATAAGTTGTATATCGGTTGCTCCTCGCAAGTTATTCTGTAGACCAAGTCGCATTCAAGCCATTCGATCCTGAATGGAAGTGAGATGCATGGCGCACCCCGAATAGGAACTGATTCACGTCTAACACGCTTCTATGCTCTCTTGCGTTTAGAGTTGGATGACAGTGCAGAAAGGCTTGGATCACTCCCACTCCACTACATTTTTCTTGGAAGGGAGCTGCTCGGAATTGGTTGACAGTCAAGGGTCGTGTGGGACCTAGAAAGGGGTTGTGTTGAGATGTCGGTGCTGAATGGAGGATTTTTCAATGGGCGGTGTGAATTGAAATGGCTTTTCTCAGTGACCAAAATGTTAAGGGTTCGAAGTATGACCCATCTCGGTCAACAACTGTTGTGGAAGTTGAGGACGAAGTAAGAGGGAGGGGTGGAAGTCGTATCTGAAAAAGTCCCCTCGTCCGCTTGACTTGAGGCTGTTCTCTTTGAGATCTACAAGCGCGTGTATTCAGAATGAAATGGCTAGAGAATTTGTGGCTTCGATCAGCATGGAAGTTTCGGCGTGTTTTCCGACTAGACGGTCAAACAATTGCACCAATTCAATGGGGAAAACCTCTGCTCACATCGGCTCCCGATAAATCACTTGATGAGAGATTGGATGACAGTCAGAAGCAAAGACTGCAAAATATCGTGGAGGAGGTTCGGGTGGGTGAATTTTTTCCTGTTTTGTTTTCGAGAATTATCCGTCTTTGCTTACATTTCAGACCATCTCCATGCTTACGAAGCACTTTCCGTCCAACATCACCACTCAGGACTGGTTAGTTCTGCTCGAATGTCAAACACGAAAACAGCGCCTTGATCATCTGAAGTTCCTCCGGAGTCGAGAATTGGAACGAGAAAAAGACTTGTTGAAGAAACGTCTTAAGTCACCTCCGCCCATCAAGGAAAAACAGGCGGAAGCAGGCGACCCTGTTCTGTATTTCCCTGCGACTAAATTAGGTATGCCAAGCAGAACTTACTATTGTTGTGCACAACAGCTTCTCTTGAGTGCGATTGCAGTTCTCCCTCTCAAGTCGGTCACCAAAAATGAGACACCTATTCATTTGCTCGAAGCGCAAGCTTAGGACTGAGCCTAGGCCCAATAACAGGCTCAGGCATAAGCCATAAGCCTGAAGCCCAAGCTCAATTCCAAGCTTAACCTTAGGTTTGAAGGAGGAATTCACGATAAGAACGAAGGTCGAAGAAGGGGAAATTGCCTAGTTGGGAGACAGGCGGACCTCCTGAGGGTGCTGACCGACGCGCAATTGGCAGCGAAAGATTTGACCTCGGCGATCTAGCATGGCTCACTCTTGGCGCGGTTGGCGGGGTACGCCCACCGACTATCTAATCACTCGCCGCAGGTCTATACGTGGCGAGTGATTAGATAGCAGAGAGAGCGTAGTGTTGAAGAGGGCACAGCGATGAGAGTCGCATCAATGCGCAAATCAACGGGCAAGGAAGGGGTCCCATTTCTCGGGTTCTGGGCCGTTTCTCAGTTTTTTCTTCTTTCGTGTACCACTCACCATCCCTAGGTTAATTTGAAATGGGTTGCTTTTCAGCGTTAATTCGTCCTCTGAGGATCACGCAATTCTGGTGACCTAACCTAGGAGGAGAAGTGAACGTCTACCGCTTCTCTTAGATCACCTTGATATTTTCAGTCAAAGACCAGCGTAGTATCGCCTGGCAAAGAGTGGCCCGAGCTCATCGTTGTGGAGAACCAAGCCTTGTCATCGACTGCCGTTTCTTGCCTTTACTTTCACCGCGCGGAGCAGAACTCACTGCCCTCCAACTGAAATATTTGATAAGCGAAAACCGTGATAGCAGGTGCGATAACGCCAGAGAACTTCAGCTCACTTTTCTTAATACATGTTCTTAAGAACGCCGTGGCAGTTGTACTTCACAAATTTCGACCACTCTTCAGAGAGAATAAGGCGACTGAAAGACAAGTAAGGTTGATTTGTTTTACGTAGTTATTGTCTGCTACAAGCACGGGAGGCACCAGAAGAGGAGCAACAAGAATTGATTCTGTGTTAGAATTCTTGCAAATTAGAGATCTCTAGATGAGATTGACTGGAGTTGTTTGATTCCATCAGGTCCAGTAAGGAGGTGGTCTGAATGGAGCGATTTTGGTAAAAATGTCCTATTTTGGTGGTGAGATGGCCCGGAATATGGAAAGATGGTCACCCTCAAATCTCAGAAGTTCCTCCTACTAAATGAATCTGGACACAGTGGTTTGCATAGAGTAGAAAAAAAGTAAAAAAGGGCGTTCTCAAAAATCATTTCCATTCTTTTTTCAAGCACCATATGTGGAGTGCGCCACGCATCTCGGGTTTACTCAAAATCGTAGAAATATTTGTCCAGAGACTTATGGGGGCACGCGATGTGCAGGTCAGTGTTTCATCCTCCCTGACAGGTTCTGTAGCAAATTACCGACCCTGTAGGGATGGACACCTTGGGAGGACTGGGCGAGATTCCCAATTCGATCCCGGCTTTGATAACGGACCATGCGCTTGATAAATGGCACCAGTTGCCGCCATACCACTTCTGCTCAAATAGGTGTACGACTTAGCATGTCCTTGTGCAAGCTTAACTGGGCTAAAAGACCAGATACTGCAAGTAGCACAACTTTTTGCAGACACTTATCAGCAATCGATTCGCCATCGACGTGCAGTCCAATCATTTCTCCCCAGAGCTTCACTGATCTTTTTCCACGAGAACGAGTAGTCTATCTCAGTCCCGATGCAGAAGAAGTGATCGAAGATGTACAGGAGCATGATGTAACTCTTAAGGTTCACACTCTATCAAGCCTGAGATGTAAGCAATGACGAGATTTCAGGTGTATGTTCTTGGTGGCATCGTCGATAGGGTACCCGAGAAAGGAATACCCCGTCAAGCTTCGCTGGAAACCGCAATCGCTGAAGAAGTCCGGTGCATGAAGTTGCCCTTAGACAAATACGTAACGTATGTTGTTGCTTCTCATCCATTTGCATTTCATTTCATTCAGTCAAATCAACTCAGAATTCCACTTTCAGCTGGAAGAGCGGCACAAAGTTCCTCACTTTGACTGCTGTTTTTTCTATTCTTCGGAACGTGCATAGCTCAGGAGGTGACTGGGAAACGGCATTACGAAAGTAAGTAAACAGTATTATGGGATTGAAACCTACAGCTAGGAAATCTGTGATCATTATTGATTAGGTTCGCTAAGATGAGCTGAGTACTCGAAAAATCTCCAAATTTTGGGCGCGCTTGAGTCCATACCTCGCCTGGACAGTGGCTGACAGAGAACAGGCAACGCTTGAGAAGCTATCTTCATTGTTCCGGTTTACTCTGGAGAGATAGGAGATTGGTGGCCTGGTTGGGTCCGCCTTCCCATGAATATTGGATACGGTACTACAAGCCAGTCCCATGAATCCAGCGCGAAACGAAATATAGTTCACTGTTATAAACATCTTGTCTTTCTAGGCTTTCTTAGTATTCAGTTCTGATACTTTTTCTGATTAGCTTTGAACTCCATGACATCTTTCCAGGAATATCCCCGTCCGAAACATACGATCCGCCGAGGAGAAATCTGTTGCCGGTCGAGTACTGCACGACAAAATTCGTCGATTCGACCAGCAGCTGCTACAGATTGTTGAACGTGAGATCGGTAAAGAAGCGATCAGAGACACTCAAACCTCAGAGTAATATCCTAAATTGCTGCCAATCATTTTCATGCACACTGAGACATGACGGGTGATTTGATACTCTCTTGCAGATATTACGTTTCTTCTCAGGCCTTGAAGAGGCGTTTAAGCCCTTTCAATTCAAGCACACAGCGTCGAGTTCTTCCCTCCTCACCATAGACACGGGAACATAAGCAAATAAGTATGTATTTAGTAATTAGTATTTTCCTTTAATTTTATTATACCACTTAGAAGTCAGGCCAAAGATAATCGTGCTTGGCAGAGTGTTTGATCGCTACCAGCGTTGTTTAGATTGTTGTTTATTGTTAAATTCACTTGTTTTTGTTATATCATTTTGTTTGCTAGGTTGAGAAAAACTTGTTAGAAAACCAATGTTGAACAAAGAGGTAGGCGAAAAGTGCTGTGAGTAAAAAAAAAATAACGGCGGGTGGACTGATTTACGGTCTTTCAATGTACTGCAATATTAACCATGATCCTGCAATTCGAGTATGAAGTTTATCTTCGAAATTTTAGAGAAGGTGAACTATTTAATACGACAATTCTTAATTACATAAAGCACAATTCTTACTAAATTTAACTGTTACAACACTAACTTGAGAACGAATACCGAAAACGAAATTAGATCGAACTTGTTTTAAGATACATTACAGAAGGTTAACGTTTTAAATTCTTGTGATGAAGTTCAACGAATAAAAGCCGGTACATGAGTAGCGGTTGGAATTTGCACAAGCTTTCTCAAGAAATGTTCCAAATCTCCACCGATCAATACGATGAAAAGAGTGCTTACTTTTAGTGAAATATGGGTACTATTGCCAACAATATAACGCTTGCAGTACATTTCAAAACATATTCCGTAACTCTAAGCCACTAATAGCGACCAAATTTGCATACCTACAAATAAGCGAGAATTTCTAGGAGAGGAGACTTACAATGAACGTAAGAGCACGACTAAAGTATAAGACTAATAAATCACAGTTTTCAAATCAGAAGAAAAGCTAAGCTAGCAAGCTCTAAACGTGAACTTTCTCAAACGACTCAAATCTGCTGGAGGACTTAGCCTTGCTGACGATGGGCTTAACTGATGCGATACTAGCAGAATGACTTCGCCAGTTAGCGCAATCCCTAATTATTGCATAAGGACCAGTCCAAACTTTTACAGATTCCTTAGTCGCCCATACGCGAAAGGGAGCCGTAAATCCGGTAACTCCTCTGATTATCTCTAACGGCCACTACTTTTTATAGCCGCCAAAAAGATATCGTAGATGAACAAACGATCCGAATAACATCTAATGTTTCACTTATTAGCAACAACGATCACCAGATCTGAACTAGTAGACGAGCTTACGTAGAGCGAGTTCAAAATAATACACAAAATACAAATATACATAGGAAAAATCATTATCACAGAGCTATAAGAAGTTTTATGGTGGGCATTGAGCGGCCGCAATAAAGTAATTACAACGTACACTCAACGCAAAAAAAGGAATAAGAAGTTTGTTCGTATGTAAACAACCTCTAGTGGACTGTTTCGAATCCAGGAAGTCCAGCGAAAATGGCGGCTCTGTCCAGCTGAACGGAAAATCTTCCGAATGAAATAAAAAGAGATCAAGACAATTTTACCTTGAAATCCTTCCAGGCATCACAGAGCTGCACAATAAATCCATCAGCACGTGCGTATGGAAGAACGTATCCAAGTCCTGTGTGATTAGCATCTCCGCTGATCCCGGTCATGTATGCAAACTCTGATCCCAAATCGGTATCTGGGCTGAAGAAACAACGGTTGAGAAGGATTTTCAAACTTACGCAATAACAATAATACGTACAGAAAGTCAAATGCACCACAAACAAGTACCTCATGCTATCCAAGAATCCAGTTGGCGTTTTCTCTTCTCCACTGTGAGCAACTCTCACCGACCCCTCGCCGTCGGAGGAAGCGCAAAGTAGCTTGTGCAACTCGATCTCAATTTTGTCAGCAGCTCCTGATGGAACTTCCATGGATGAGGTCATCGACGGAGATTTAAATGCTGTGAATGCCTGAACAATGATCTTCAATTTCAGCCAGCCATTCCAATGGAAACCGAGATAGGAGCACTTATTTCACGTACCGACGTCTCACTGAGACTGATTCTTGCTTGTTTCTCCTTCGGAGCGACATAGACTGGGCGATTGATCAGAGGAGGAGGCGCGGCTTGCGCAGGTATTGCTATAGGATGTGCTATCGTTGGCACTCCCTTGTCAATAGATCTTCGAGGTATGTTATTAGTGGGACCTAAATCAGTGTACAGTATACGAAAATATCACATTGGAGTACGACATCACTTTTCACCTGCAAGCACGTTCATGACGCTTCTACTCAATGGACTTTGATCCAGTGGACGGAAATGACTAGATTGTGGAGCACTCGACAAAGCTTCAGCAGGGAATCGTGAAGATTTTGAGTCAAGCATGGAATCGCGAATATCATAAGGAGCAGGTGGCATTCGTGAAGATAAGTTAGTAGAATTGGAAGGAGCCGTCGAGATGGGCTCACCGTGCGACGGAACTGGCATTTGCTGGGTTGACTGAAAGATTCTCATGTTGAAAATGAAAAAAGAGTTACTTATAGTCAACTTACCATCAACCGTCTAGAATCGTAACGAGGTGCTGCTCCTGGCGCATTAGGGAACACTGACGAAGAAAAGAGGGCATCCATCACAGCCGATATATCCGACGACGGTACATTATGAGAAGCTTAAAAATAAACGAATAGAATGATATTAGAATTATTTAGCTTTGTTAACTGATGTTTAATTTGTTGCGAATTGTGAACCTAATGCTACTACTAGAACAATGAGCTACGCGGGAACATTTGGCCACAGATGAAGCTAGAACCCGCAAATACAGGGCGGCCAGAAAAGAGACACTTCATTCCACATTCCAGACAGCATTAATCACACTTTGCCCAACTCAAACCCAACTGCTCCCAACTTAGTATTGAAGAGCACATCCCAATCTATCAATAAACTTATAATAGCTTTCTGCACCAAGGACATCACAAGAATTTGCCATGGGAACCTTGTGCACGGTTCGAGCTCAACTGGTCCTCGGCGGATCATGGACCTTTACGACGTTATCTGAAACGCTGGTCGGAAGGGGTCTTGCATATTTAGAGCTACTGCCCTAGGAAGCAATTCGTCAGTTAACCGATTGAAGAAATTCCGTAGCAGCTTCAGGCTGGAACGATTACTTTAGGCCTTCTTGAGCTCAACGGTGATGGAAGATGACGTCATATTTTGAGGACGGTGAGGGCAGTGGAAGAGGGCCTGTCTCCATTTAGAGGACATCTAAGGGATATCTTGCCGTAAAACTTTCATTTTTTTTAACTTGCGCGGCACCCTAAGCGACGAAAAGTGTAATGATGTCCGCCATGGGCAAAGTGTCTTTTTTCTTGGCCACCCTTGTATATTAGCCAGGCACCGTGTTTATCCACTACACTTTTGAGAACCTAGGTGCCTTCCCACTTTTAATACAAGTGAAAAGTCTGCCTAGGAATGTGAATAGCAGTAACTCATCAGTTTGTTAACCATGGGAGCTATTCGCAAGTTATAGAAATCCCGGTTATACGATGAAGTAATGCTCTCAGCAATGGATTAGAATCAACTCAACTGTAGGGAGTCTTTTGCAACTATAAGCAGCACGCCCTTAACTATCAAATAGCTTCGTGACAGCCCACTGATCATCGATCACTAGATTTTGTTGGGCCTAATGATGTCCGTCGTGGTGAGAGAAGGAGTACACCGAAATCATGGGCTATAGCGACAATGTATAAATGCAAGATGTTTTGAATCCTGCACAATCACATTCAGGGTCCTAGGAGCCTATACTGATGGATATCTGTCATTATTTCGATCGCTGCAAGATCATTTTTCAATATTCTGGCGTTCTGTAATATCTGGTGCTTCAACAATGATGCTCTACAATACTTTCCAGTAACCGTATTCTTAGATCAAGTACCACTTTTGTGACAGACCAACCTTTACTATGAGATTCGCCAAAAGTTGGTAACATGACATTCTTGGAACGTAATTTCTGACTCTCGGCAGCCTGAAAAAGAATGTTACTACCATTCTGTGGCGAGTGTTGCAGCATTGAAAACACGTTGTAGTAGTTTTTGATGAAAAGGTACAGAACGCACAGCAAGCGCTCTTCTCTCCTGTTCTCGCATAATATACTTCTGAAGATCCTGCACAAATGGCATAACAGTATAGAAGTTGTGATTGGACAGGTTTCCCAATCGATGAACTTGATCGTTACGATCAGTGGGAAGATCCCATACGTTGAACCACTGAATTTTTCTGAAAATCCAATGATCAAGTGCCTACTTGGGAAGCGTAACACCCAGAAAATTCTGTTGAATGCAGTCACGTATCAACAGAATTATGACAACGGAAATAAAAAGGAGCAACTTCCGCGGATGACCCACAAAATGTCACGCCAAAGCCGTACGGTTCAAAGCACCTCTCACCTGATCTCGTTCCGAGTTTGTGGCGCGAATGGGAAGTCAGTAGGCACATCTGGCACGATGTACAACCGCACCATAGTTTCATTGAGAAATTTCTGCAGTTTCTTTTCTCCACCTCGTGGACGATGGTCGCCAAAATTGAATCCGGTTTCTTCGAAAACCTCGCGCACAGCACAACTGCGTGGCTCTTCGCCTTCGTTGACCTTAAATCTACGAGGTAGAGAAAGCAATATTGACACTCCCAATGCTAAGAAGCAAACAGACGTTTGTATTAGACTTTGACCGTCTGTTGGTGAACGTCTTAAATATTTTTCACAACTAATGAGCTAACCAAGAACGGAAGAGAGACTTGTGGGGGGAGGGGGGATTTAGCAAAAATTCGTAGTCTTTTTGTACCCGAGATAGTTTAGGGGGACTACGTTGCAGCTCAAAAAAGAAAAAATGAGGAGTCTATTGCCGAAATTAACGGCTCCAACAAGGAAGAGAATGCTTTCCAAAAGTCGGCTCCAGGGCGGCCTGGATACCGTAAAATGTCAGGTGCGGCGGAGCCTAAGCCAAACTTTTCGATAATAACTAACTGTCCGCAAAGTTTTCCTTGTGGACGTGGTTGGTGCAATGTGAACTGGCACTGTCCCAGCAGTTGATGAGCAAAGAAAAATCTATGAGAGCACCAGCTTCTTATTAGGAAGCGCAAAAGTTACTCTTGATTCCATCCTCTGATTATCTTACTGCGAAATTGAAGCAATGCACGAGCATGGTATCATGACCGATAGTGAAGAAAAGGGAATATGGCTCAACGTAAAGTAAACGCGAAACCAGATCCAAAAATTCTTTTTCACTCAATTAAGATGTGTTATTATGTATTACCTTTCCTTTGGGGAAACCCCAGCTGTTTTTGCTCGCATAAAAACCTTGCACAAGAAGCACATGATTTAGTGTTTCATCTAGCAAGATTGCTCCATAAGTCGGAACCGTTGACTTGTACCAGCGCCACTCGTCAATAACCTGGAAAAGATGCCATATCTGATTAGGGACTTCTTTGATAGGCCATGAAAATAGAGAGGAAACAGGATGAATACCTGGTCCACATGGGCTGCATAAGGAGCCAACTCGTCACAATGTTTAAAAATTTGCCTTAAAAAGATCCATATCAGTCCTGCCTCTTTCACTAGCCACAATGAAATAGAACTTACCTGGCAAATTCCCGCATTCCCATTTGGGCACAATCCTTTCTTTCCTCTTGTTTGCAATAAAAGTCAATGTAAAACCAATGCGCTAATTCCACTTGGAAGCACATACGGACCTTGTCTGATTTCTGAATATTAGTAATGAAAAAAGGTTGATTCCTCCACATCGAACAATGAGTGACGGATAACCCTATTGCCTCCTCACTGAGGCACCAATTCCTGACGTAAGCTCATAAATTAAAGGAATCGAGGTAAAAAAAAAGATTGAAGTGCATGAATAACCACGCGAATACACTTTTTCCTTATGAATACTCCTTCGCATGAAGAAAAAAATGACAGAAACATGTTCACATTTACCTCCTCATCTGGAATATTTGCCAAAAACCGAAATGAGAGGTCCTGAAGCACTTCGGATGGAATTTTCGGAGCCGATGGAGTTGCTTTAGTCGGACTGGCTGCCCACAAATTATAAGATTCTGTTGTGGGATGATTTAGCTGGAAAGGAAACTATAGAGCATTCTCTGGTACCAAAAAATGATGTAAAAACTCACAGTATAACTGATATCTCGTATTTTTCGCGAATTTGACGTTGATGGTCCTGCATCATCCACTGTTACCTGATTTCGACTCATTCTTGCACCGACACTGCCCAAATTTTCGACCCCGCGATTGACTACTGGTGGGGGATTCTAGAATGAAAAAACAGGGACTTTTACTATTAAAAAGAATTGCATAATTTCACAATAGAGAGGAAAAGTTTGTTCGTCATTAACAAAAAGATCATGGCAAATGAATGAGATTGTCAGTCACACGTAACACACTGTTCAAGAAAAGCTATAGCGCCGAAAACATCGAAAGGAAACTGGTCGCCATGGGCGAACGTGTTGTAATGTCATCTCGAGATCAATGAACGTTGCGCATATGTTGCATATGTATGCGAAAGTATGTGAATTATTTAGTAGAACAGATTTACGATGCAAATAAAGAAAACATGGTCAAAACACTTGGTCGTGTATAATGAAACGTAGTTCGCTATTCAAGTCACATTGGTAACGCAAATGATCTCTAATTGTAGATGGAAGAGCCAAAGGGGAACAAAACCCCTGAAATGGCTAAAACCTTGCATAACAATGAGAAACAAATGCGGGACTGAGGTTCCGCCACAGCTGGCATTTTCCGGTATCCAGACCGTCCTGGAGCCGACTTTTGGGAACGCATTTTCTTCGTTTTTGAGCCGTTAATTTCGGCAGTAGACTCCTCATTTTTTCTTTTTGAAGCAACGCAGTCCCCCCAACTATCTCGGGTACTAAAAAACTACGAATTTTTGCTAAATCCCCCCCCCCACCCCACCCCTCTCCCACCAGGGCACACCATTGGCTCTCCGATACTAAGCATAAGGATGATAGTTTTCATGATACGTAATCGATTCATTAAGAATTCACTTCTGATAAGGACCGGTGTAGTGTGGAAGTACTCCAAGTGCTTTCAGATTTCGGCCTGCTGTGGTCCAAGGAAATGGTCCTGAACTAGGGTATGGACATCCTTTTTAGGCGCAAGGGTGTAGGAGCCCAGGGTGGACGATAACATACCGTAAATTGCCTAAGATGTGAGCAGGATGTGCGTGATGTAGGGCATACATCGGTCCTTATCAAAAATGCACTTGAAATGAGTCGTTTACCTCTATCTTATCCATAGAGAAGTCCAAAAGAGTGCTCTCTAGTACTACAACAAGATAACAGGGAATACAACCCCCCTAGAACTGGAGTTTCACCATTTTATTTTATGCTCAAATGTGGAAATCAATCCCCAGCTCAAAGCAAGACAAACCTGATTTTGAGAAGTACTGGCTTTTTTCCTCGAGTCCGCTTTTTGCCTTGTTGTAGTCTCGTTCTTGGACTTCTGATTTTGACCAGGGTGTCGTGAAGGCGCGGCCGAATCAGGAGCTGCCTTCCCCTGAAGGAAGATACATGTAGACACAAATAACTAATGACTCACACTGATATTAGTAAATATAGGTTTCAAACCTGGGCTTTACTAAGCGCTGCCAAAAGTTTTGTTGCAGGCGACTGCTGCGCTGTTGGAGCCGGAGATTTGCTTATACTATCGGCAACACGACGGCGACCATGTTTCTGTAAAAATGGGAATATGAAGAAAAAGCCCATGATTTCCAACGGTGTGAATGCGTAAAGTAATGTCAACTAGTTTAGTTCAAAAAGTTGTCCGAATACCTTTCTACTTGGTGGTGCACTTGCATTATCCATGTTGCTTTTACTTGAAGCGAATTGTCTGAACTCACAGGTGTTACGAATGTTATAACACTATAACACAAAATAAAGGAACGTAGGGCACATGGGAAATTTGTAGCGAAATGCAGAAGACCTGAGGGATCGAATTCAGCAAAAAAAAAAAAAAAGAACCGCACTACCCAATTTTTGGCGACAGTAAGAAGTTGAAAATGTTTCCAGGAAATCTCGTACCGGTTCCAACTACAGTAAAAGCCAGTAGGCTGTCTGGCGTTTTTACGCTAGTAACATGAATCTTCGAAAATAAAACGGCACCATTCCGACAATCGCCTTGATATGGTGAGATGATCAGACTATGTGAAATACTGTGTCTTACTACAAGGCAGAAATGGGTTATGTTGCATAACGGAGGGGGGGGGGTGGGGAGGGGGAAGTGTGGTTCACTAGGACAGAAAGCGACTTTTTCGCGTTTCGCAGCGCGAAACATTTTTCGCTGCGGGAACCTCAGGTCCACTGATGATCAGCGTGGACCTGAGGTTCCTGCAGCGAAAAATGTTTCGCGCTGCGAAATGCGAAAGAGTCGCTTTCTGTTCTAGTGAACCTCACCCGGGGCAGGGGAGACATGTTGGAGCACTCAAGCCTTTAACCACGACAATGTTTTTATCAAAAGTTTAATAAAGTGCCACTTAACTAAGTTTTCTTTTTTTGCACGATGCCACTCGTTAAGCCAGGATCCCTGCTGCGATCCATGCAAACTATTATACCAACATCCCCACTCCCCCTCCTCCCTTATTGGAATAGATCCAGAACAGAGATAAGGTGAACTTTTCAGGTTAAGTTTCAGGAGTTGCAACTCAGTTACTCATCCTTGATGGGTGGACTGAGAGAACGACTTAGGAAAGTGGCGAGTTTCTAACGTAGTTGGTGGTGGGAGGTAGGGGGGGGGGCACGTTCAGAAATTTCAGTGCTGAACGAGGAATCTGGGGGCGGGGCGAGTCACGTGATAGGAGTAAAATTCAGAATGTGCGAGTTTATGCTGCCTCGCCGAGAGGAAGCAGACATGCCGCACGCCGCTGCGACCTCTCCTCCCCCTTAACTATGTTAGCGCCTAGGACTTTTTCCAGGTTCATTTTCAGTAGCCTTATAATAAGTCTAAGGAGCGCTGAGGGGATGGGGAAGGTGTGCGACGGAGGGCGCAAGAGTGAAGCCAAGCTCTCCAATCAAGCCCAGTTCACAAAAAGCAGTCGCATAAAGCGAAACGTCCGCACTCACACTCGTTAAACTAGCTACTGCTATAACAATTAACCTTACTGTCTGCAGCGGAAGAGGAAGAGGAGAGAGAGGGAAGAGATGCAAAACATGGGGATGAACCATACGGGTTCTTGTGCGATTACACGTTGGACACATGCCGTGACAAAGAATTGCATAATGCTGGAATACGATTATGACACAGAAAAAGAAGGGCAGTAATCCTACCGAATACCGATTTCGTTCCCTGCTCGATTCCCCAAAAAGTCTAACAGACCGACGTTCCACGCATACTCACATTCGACTTTTCCAGAACACCATTCAATTATTTCTGTTTTTGAGTTACTAATTAATTTGGTTACACTAGCGCTACAACGGAACGCTCGAAAAAAAGGGAACACCAAGGATGCGATGAAATTTGAGCGCTCTAGACGACTTCAGCTGTTACTCAAGTGACTGATGATCTACCGTTTACTTAACTCATTATCAATAAAAAATATTCACCTAATTATCAATCAATAAATATTCACCTGATCACATCAGCGACACTGATTTGAAAATTTGATTTCTTTGCCCACGAGGTTTATAGATGGAATGACTCCCCCTCCCGCTCACGTACCACGGCGAGGTAACCACGAGTCCTTCGATAAACGAATCAATCTGGGAATCAGCACGTGATAACACCGCCAGGTGGCGTACTCTGTTGTCCCCAGGCGAGGCTTTCGACTTTGTTTGTTTTTGCACTTGTACTACATCAACTTACACCAACATGTCTTTCTTCAAAAATACAGCCCTTTGGAACAGCGCCAGACGGTAAACTGTTGCCTACATGAGAGCGGAAAAACCGAGCACAGATGAGTGGACAAATAGGTAGAAAACATCGGCGTCTTGGGTCATGAAAACAGTCATTAACAAGGCAAATGGAAGTGGAAGGAAGCCACCGGCTGAGGAAAATCCAAACCTCAACCAGTAAGGCATGGACGAAGGTGCCGAACAAGGGCGCTATGTGCCTCGGGGCGGCTGTGCGGCAACAGGAAATTCGAACATTCCAGCTTCTCACGCATGTCATGTGACTGCCCTCACCCCCAACCCCCCTGAATTGGCTACACTCCCCCTGGCTCACGAATTTCTGTTGCCTGTTGCCGCACGGCCGCGCGCGGCGACTGGTCCCCCCCGAGGCACATTGCGCTCCGAACAAGTTTTAAACGACCATGTGGGCAAAATAAGAGTCATGCGTAAAACATCGAATGCACAACTCCACAGAATGACAGGTTCTTAGAATTTGACACTGCTTAAACTCATAACACGTAATGAGTAATCCACCCCGCAATTCATTTCAGAATTTCCACCACCAAGCAGGCTTCCGAAGAGAAATGCGAAGTTGATACAAGAGAGTCTCGTGAGATCCTATATATTAGGATCATTCGATATCCATAAAAATGTGCCCGGCAGGTTTATATTGAAGAGAGAAGACGTTAGCAGAAATGGAAAAAAATCGCTCGTGGGTTAGCGTGAAGGGTATGTGACTACGGAGAAGACACATTGGTTTACGTCAAGCACCTTCTCAGGCATGGCCAGGCTCATGGAATACAATTTCGGCAATTTTAGACGCGTGAGAATATTTTTGTGAAAGCGAATATTATATAGCAATAAATTCCCGTGGGTCTCATTCAGGAGGGGAGGGGGTATTTGGCGCGACAGTTCGTATCGCATGAAGTAATCCATTTTTTGCAGGGGAGCTTTAGGACTTTCGGAAGGACTTTCGCATCACATGCCACCGAACCCCCCCCCCTCCCCCGCCCCGTTTTTGATGAGACCCATTTCTGCTTTTCAGAGAGTGTTGTCTGTGGAAATACCTCTAAGTCTGTAATAAAGATCTGGCTATTTGTTGCATTCGAGAAAAATGCCAGGAAATTGGAGTAATCATATCGAAGTGATCCATACTAACATGACAATATGGCTTTGTAGCATTGTGGGAATAGCCGGCGGACGCAAGAGTAAAAGAGGACAAGGTCGACGTCAGTAATGTAGCCCGGAACTATGAAGCATGCTGGAACGGATGGGATGTAAAGACCGAACCAACACCAAACGATAACAACAAGAGACTATGGAAGGTGTTATTTGGGGACCGGAGATTGGGTCTATCCCTGGAACACACCTATCAATTACAAGGAATGGTGACTTCGTAGGCATGACTTATTCGGAAAACGACGTTTTGAAGAGAACCAATAGTATGATAGA